AAAGATCAGCGCATAAGGCAGAATTCTTCTAGTTTCAAGAGATCGTATGTAATGACTGGTACCTCATCTCGAATGCAAGGTATCATCTCGGATAATTTCGTCTTTAGTTTATTTGTATAATGATTAATAGGAACAAAAATTACCTTTGTTTTTCCTTTATATTCTATTCGAATAATGAATGTGTATCGTAAAGTACAAACAACTAATAAAATATTAATTATACAACGTCAACAAATAGCTACTCGCTTTTATATGATTTTTTTTCCTCGTAGTATTTCTAACTATAATAATTTTTACTGGATTAAATTCACAAATACAATCGATGAAGATATTAACTCCAACAGAATTAATATTTGAACAATTACAAACTCAATATTCATCAACATTATCATGTCTATCATGTTCACGAATAGCAATTCAATATTCAAAATTTCTTTCTATCAAACCAATTGCTTATCATCAAGTATGTTCAAGTTATTTTATCTCATCGAATTTTATTGAATTATTATGGGATACCGAATTCCCTTGATAGTTATTATTGGAATGTAGACATGAAAATATTAACTACACAATTTCGTCTTTTAGCATCTCTTTGTTCTCTTGCAAAAAATGTAATTGAACACAAGATTAAAATATTTTCTTTACGAGAATTTATTAGTCTTGAAACATTAACACATCATTATTCTTTTCAAATTCAAATCGATTCTATTATTAATAATTTTATTAGTCAAATATCAACTAGTTATCAACGAATACATAAATATATCATAAAAGTATTTCATGCTAATCAATTACATAATATATTCTATACAAATTGAAATCTTGCTATATCAACTCTTAATGATAATTATATTATGTCAACATGTTCAAATATTATCAGGTAAAATGTTTATTTATAATTTGATAGAATACGTTTGCTAAATAATAAATATGTATACAATAGATTCAAAAACAAAAATTGTCGTTAGATTTTTCAAAATTCTTTTCTATTAAAAGTGATGAATATTGAAACTTTTTTTAATCGATAGATTATACATACAGTATAGTATACAGTTATTAATAAAGATTTGCTTCCTCTTTTCGATTCAATAAGAATGACACATTTGACTTTCTTATTATTTGTCAAAAAGTTTTGAGTTTAGATGCTAATTCTTTACAATGTTTTGTTTAGAAATCTCTTCAATTCATCGAGATTTGAGAATCTTTCTCTAGAGATAAGTTACAACTTTTCAAGTAAACTGAAATCCATGCCATCACTTCGTTTCGTGCAGATACGGTTCAAAAATTGCTTTACTAATCCTAATACACCATAGTGCTTCGCTCTTAGTTCTTAGGAATTGTATATTAGATGGTATGAGTAGAGATCTACTTCACATGAACATTTGAATGATAGGTCATTTTTATAGGACTTAACAATACTTTTGAAGACACATCAGTTTTACTGAATGCACAGAACTATCTTCTATTGTTTAGAAATAGTTCTAAGGCGATCGTTCGAGAAATTCACACCGAAAAAAATTTATCAGATGATACATACTAGAAAACTTTCATCTGTTGTTTTTACTACTTACGTCTTGTTCTTGGTTGTTTACCTATCTATGGTTTGCGTCTATCGACATGTGAATGTCTCTACAATTTAACATGCTTACAGAAATTATCTAATTTGATTAATAAATTAACAGTTGGTTTAAAATTTGTTGTTTGGCATAGTGTACATATTAGTTCGCCGATACAACAATGGTTGACTCTTCGTCGAAGACGTATTATATCTATAAATGAAAAGTGATAATATTTGGAAAAAAAATAATTATTGACATATTTATATACGTTGTTCAAAACAAGATAGAACATTCAACGGACAACTTTTTATGATCATGATTGTAGAAATGTCCTTGAAGTTATCATATCAAAAAAAGATGAAACATTCCTTCTTATCTTCTTAGATTTATTTTCATAGATTACTAGTATACTACAAAGACAATAAATATTTATATTATTTTGCATTACAAAGGTTTTTTTACCCACAAATAGGCTCAAGTATTCTCCATCAAAATCCTTCAAAGCAAGCAATATTTTCAGTAGGTGTTTTTATAATAAAATGCTCCAAACCCTATCAAAGTAATTCAAATCGGTAACTTGCAATCAAATGAAAAAAATATACTATTCGATAATCCAAAGTCTCTTCTCCGAGAACTCAAAAGTACCACCCTGTCAATCGATTGAACTAGAGTAATGAGCGGATTCTGATACAGATAACTTTAAAGGAACTTCTTGGACATCTCCAGCATAATTTCAAGTGTTTGTATTGAGAAAAAAATTCGTTTGTCTCGTATTACTCTATTTTTTTTATGTAAGATAAGAAAAAAAGCTAGTTTGACTAAGAATCATGACACTCAATTTAAAAGATCTTATTTTTATAAAACATCTCAGAAAAGATAAGTTTGATATTTCAGATTCATACGGCATTTCAATGTCGCCGAAATTCTTATCTTATGGATTTTAAACTTGACGTCATACTTTTCTGTCTGTAGTCATTATCAAACTACACTTAGAAATGAAATTTTAACTAGATAGAAAGGTGACAAAAAAAAACGATGGCAATTTCGGAAGACTCTGATTCTTTTGAAGATTATACGCGATACTATCGAAATTCCCTAAAAAGTAGAATATATTCAGTACAAAACTGCCAAAAACATCGGATTTTGTTAATAAAAAACTCATTAATTATTAGCAAGATCGGAACTCCAACAGAGTCAAGTAGATATTATTGATCGTTACATTCAATTCATTATTCATAGAAGAATACAAATAATTGTCAATTTTATTCTTTCATTCAAAAAAGCTGTTAGCGCAATCCTTGCAGGATTAAAATCTGTTTCGCTTGTTAAGAGATATCCCATACATATTGGTCGTATTGTCTTAGATGATTAGATAGACTAGAAACTATGGAAATACTTGTCAAGCTGTATGACGCTATAAGAAGCTTTGTTCATTATTTCTGTCTGTCACAGTCTGTAGGGCAAGAGAGAGTATGGTTCATTTTTCTCGCTATATCCTTCAACGTACCTTTCATTAATTACTTATTAATGAGCTATTAATTAGAAAGATCAGTCACGATTTATGAGAAAAGGAAGTGAGATGAATCCTACTACTGCATGAAGTGCTAGGATGTCGTCCATTGGGGTTCAGGAGCCACCGTGTCTCATTCTTTGACTAGTGGGCGTGGGTGTAGGTGGCTCAGAAGTTATAAAACGCTCTTAATATTTAATATCATTCATGCTGTAATACTCAAGACTAAGATTTTGTTATAGTTAGAAAATTGCCTGAATACTAAAGCATTTGCGACTTTATCTAGGTTTTTTCTAGGGTTCTTATAGTTAAATCAAAGTTTAAAAATGAAGGTGAAGGACAAAGCCAAACAGAATGATATCAGTTTACCATTTATGATATTTTTTTCTTTCTATTATAGTATCAATAATATACATCGAGATGCTGAGGCTTGAGAAAATTGTCAGCTGAATCAATTTGTTATGTTTATCAATCCTTATAAATGCTGATTCTAAATCCCTCAAAATAACCAACTCTTCTTGAAAATCTACAAGAAACTAAACTATTTTTACCATGGTTAATCAAATCATTGTTATCCTTATTTCTGTTCTTCTCTGTGATATTCTTTTGGTTTCGGCCAATCCTGCTACATCTATTGAAGAACAACGTCGTACTATTTCATTGACAGACAACTTTCGATTACCAAAGTCACTCTGTCGTCAAATGCTGTGCAATAAGCCATGCTTTTGCGGTAGCTATCGTGATTATCGTGGATGTGATACCTGTAATTGTCGTCCATGTGATGGTAGTGGATTGGGTGACGATTGGGGAATGGCTTAATCTCTATTCTTATTGAATGAGTGATAAATAAAGTTCAAGAGAAAAGAATATTCAGTTGTTTTATATTAATTTCAAGCTATAATATGTACTAAGTTAATTTTATTTGAAGTTATAATTTATAATCATTCAAATCAATTTATTTTAATATGCTTTAACACTTAATTAATCGAAATATTTACACTAGTCATTCATGTGCCGAAGCAAGTCCAGATGAATATTTGTTTGACCTCTACTATATAAATGTTTTCACTAGAATTCATTATCCTTTTCTTGACAAAATAGCTCAAGTATTTTATAAGAAATCATACGTTATATTTATTAGTGGAACACACACATACTTACATTAACAAGAGATGTATGATAGTAATAGAAATTTCTATGATGCTTAATATGTGTGATAGCAAGCTGATCATGCATCCACTTAGGTCAAGGTTAATTGTTCTATTTGTTCTCACCAAGACAATCAAAAAAAAAACCTTTCATTCAGAAGGTGAAATTATCTCAAAGATAGATACAAGTAATGAATACAAAAATCTTCTGTTTTCTTTTCCTCACAGGACAATATCAAAAATATTGTTGAGATAAATCTTTTAAATATTCAGATTTCAATATTGAGGGTGTGGGTATGAATTTAGGTGTGGATTCCAAAACAGATATACACCCACACTCACACCCGATTCTTTCTCTTCATCTTTTTCGTTGAAAGTCAATGTACTTTCATATAGTTCGGTTGAGTAACAGCTTTCTCTTGCGTAAATCAGTGTGATAAGTAAATAACGAATGACGCACTTTTTAGACTAGCAATAGTGGATATTTTCTCACTTGGAAACACACAAAAACACAATGTAGAATCAGTATTCGAGTGAAATCAAGAAGAATCTGGAAGTCCTAATAATGATACTATAGAATGATGTGCAGACTAACAAGTAAAATTATTAACAAAAGATATTGCTAGTATAGAAAACATGGTCAACTTTTAATGGCCATATTCTGAAGATTTTTTTCCCGTTAGAATATTAGAGCTGAACGCTGCTTGTATAAGTCAGCTTCGACAATCACAGCATAAAGGATCAAGCCATTGTAATATAGATACTTCATACTCATACCTGCACCCACAATTTGACAAGTATACTCATGAGAAACATGGGGGATCGGATCTTGTCGGAACGCTTTCAAATCCGGTTAAATTCGGAAAACGGAACCGATCGGATGCTCTCCGATGAAATCCGATAACTTCCACAATTATCCGATCAAAAACGTCGACCGGATTACAGGGTTTCCGACCTACTCTACCAAAAAGAAACCAGCGGATCTGACAAGTGGGATCGGTCGCATCCGATAGGAACCATAAAAATTCCATGGCAGGAAATCCTCAGAAGTATTCGCATTGCGTCGAACCATAAGGCAATACCATCCGGTAAAATCCGTCCTATACCCAGCACCGGAACATACCAAAACCAACAAGAACCACACAGCTACCTACCATACTGTTCACAACGCCAGAAAACAACATTACATCACGAAATAATTTCATTACGCCAGCCACCACGATTCCTACACTTAACGAAGAAAAAAGCAATACTCTCTCCAGCGAAAAAAAAAACAAAACATGAAACCGCTCGCCACACAGTCGTACCAACGCATTTCCCACAAAAAAACATCTCTCTAAATATATCGAAAGAACGGAAAAACACAAAAACGTATCCTAACCAGACATCAACCATATAAGCCAGAATAATTAGTGGCATTACTAACCTACACACTGCAAAAATACCAACTACATTCTCATAAAATCAGCACAAACAAAAATTGAAAGCATGCTTCAAGCTCATTATCATGCGTGAGCAAAAGAGGGCTGATTTTGTGACGATCTCAATGATTCTTTTAACTTTGCAACAAAATCGGGTTAAAAGAATCAAAAGTGAGCATCATGCTCATATTTACGGGTGAACAAAAGACAGCTGATTATGTGACGATCCCAATGATTCTTTTTAATTTGCCACAAAATCGGGGTAGAAGAATCAAAAGTGAGGATCATGCACATTATTATGGGTGAGAAAAACAGAGCTGATTTTGTGAGGATCTCAATGATTCTTTTTACTTTGCCACACAGTCGGGTTAAAAAAGTCAAAAAGGAGCATCATGCTCATTCTTATAGGAGAGCAACGGTCAGCTGATTTGCTGTCGATCTCGATGATCCGTCTTAGTTCGCAACTAAGTCGGGTGAGAAAGATTACAAATTAGCATGATGCTCAGGATTATCGGTGTTGATGGTGGTGTGGGTGTGGGTGTGGGTATGGATCTGGGTATGGGTGCGGATGGGTGTGGATGGGTGTGGGTGTGGGTGGGTGTGGGTGTGGGTGGGTGTGGGTGGGTGTGTATGTATGGTTATGGATGGGTGTATGGGTATGGGTGTGCGTGTGGTTGTGGTTGTGGGTTTTGATGTGCATGTAGATACGGGGAAGTCGCCACCCACACCCACACCCACACACACAGGCACACGCACCCCCACACCGAGACACTCACAGGCGGACCCGAAGCCGCACCCCACATGAAAAGAGTTTCTTTTCAGAACAATAGAAAACAACATTGTCTATAACATATCAGAAAGATCGTTTGGTGAACGAGGTGGCTATAATGTAGGAAATAGAACAATTTTATGTAACACGTTCTACGTTATAGCACATAACTAAGCATTCAAGATAAAGGAATAAATAAGGTGATATAGGGTAAATCCACGGTATCTCTACCACGTTTACATCGACTTTCTCCGAATCGCATGAAACGTTTAGGGTTTTATAGACCAGATTGATGTAAGACTTTCTGCAATTGCAATTTTTTAAATTTCATTAATAGCACATGGATATAGGAGATGATGTTTTAGACACGTTTCGTATTCAGGGCAAAAATTGGAATTTTTTGAAGAACTTAAGCCATCGATTGAAACTAAAACGCAGTTAATTATATAGACATATTATATATCATTTGGTGGCTATTGGTCTTGGCTACATTTCGGCTATCACAGATGGTGGCTTTCCTGATAGATACCTTACATGAATTTTTCATTAATATGACAGACCCCCTAAATCATAGGGTGTGCTCGTGTAGTGACAAAAAGATCGGAAATATGGAATTCCCAGGCAAAGCCATATATACAGTTTTGTAGAGAATTCTTCGCTCTACAAGATGCAATAGAATGCATTTTTGCCTTTTTTGATTTGACAAAACACGAAACACACAAACATGAGATATGCCATTTTTCCAAATTTTACAGAAAAAATTGCCAATTTTATCAGTGTATATATTTTTTATTATTCGCCAAACTTCTTCTACAATTAGCAGTTAAACTATTTGAATACTCTCTTACCCTTTAAAATTCAGTCGACACGATGTTTTGTCATAAATACATAGAACGCTGAAAAACTATGAAAATATTCTATGATAAACATGAGTCATCCCACGTACGCCACGATCGAGTTCTTCAGAATTTGCTTAATTTTATATAATCTTATAGAGGAAAGAGTTTTATGAATTTTGACGCAAGCCGTTTTGAAAAATATTGAACCGCTGACTTTTTATGACTGTCTTACGAAAAGCACTAAAAACAATATTTCGACTAAGGGCGTCCTGCCGAGCCATATCTCAAGAATGACGTAACTAATTGAGTTGAAATTTTTACCATAAATAATACTCAGTGACACATCTTCGTAGCCAAAATTTCAGCTCGTTGACTTGATCCATTCGTCAGATCCGTATATATAGAGTAGGCCGAAATGATACTCAGGGCTCTTAAAGATGACCTTTTTCACAAGCTGTTTCTGGCTGGTTCGGCTAATTTTACTATGCACTTGTACACCTCAGATGGTGCCTCCAGCTTCCTAATCTCCGCCTTCCGAGAACCTGATATTTTGAGCGGAAACCCTCTCCGAAAATGACGGTTTTCATCAAAAACCGATTTTTGAGAAGGTTCTACTGGTTCAAGAAAATGTTATATAAAGCTGAAATTTTTAGAGAATATACATTTTAATATAGTCTAGCTGTAGTTAAAGCTTCAGGTCTTTATGTTATTCCCATCACGAGTTATGAAGCACCAAAAGTGTGCAAAATGTGAGTTTTTACTCAAATTGGATGAATAACAAAAAAAATATGGGTTCAATATTTTAAGCTGAAAATTTTATGTTCACTATAACTCGTGAGAATCTGTGCGCATACAAAAATTCAACTCAATTCGTTATGTCATTCTTGAGATATGGCTCGGCAGGACGCCCTTAGTCGAAATATTGTTTTTAGTGCTTTTCGTAAGACAGTCATAAAAAGTCAGCGGTTCAATATTTTTCAAAACGGCTTGCGTCAAAATTCATAAAACTCTTTCCTCTATAAGATTATATAAAATTAAGCAAATTCTGAAGAACTCGATCGTGGCGTACGTGGGATGACTCATGTTTATCATAGAATATTTTCATAGTTTTTCAGCGTTCTATGTATTTATGACAAAACATCGTGTCGACTGAATTTTAAAGGGTAAGAGAATATTCAAATAGTTTAACTGCTAATTGTAGAAGAAGTTTGGCAAATAATAAAACATATATACACTGATAAAATTGGCAATTTTTTCTGTAAAATTTGGAAAAATGGCATATCTCATGTTTGTGTGTTTCGCGTTTTGTCAAATCAAAAAAGGGAAAGATGCATTCTATTGCATCTTGTAGAGCGAAGAATTCTCTACAAAACTGTATAATATGGCTATATCCGGGAATTCCATATTTCCGATCATTTTTTCATTACACGAGTACACCCTATGATTTAGGGGGTCTGTCATATTAATGAAAAATTCATGTAAGGTATCTATCAGGAAAACCACCATCTGTCATAGCCGAAATGTAGCCGAGACCAATAGCTACCAAATGATATATAATATGTCTATATAATTAATTGCGTTTTAGTTTAAATAGATGGATCCAGTTTTTCAAAAAATTCAAATTTTTGCACTCAATACGAAA